TATAATGTTAAATTCTTGAGCTTGCTTTAGACCACACAGGCAGCCCTCAGCTGACACAAATGTTACAGTCCAACAAGTGACCTCATTCTTACTAATGTACTGACCTGGGGAATATTTAACCTTGACAGTGTGCCTGAAGTACTTCACAACTGCAGTTAAACATTGCTAAAATCTCTGTAGATAGTTGAATAAGCCAGAGAACAAATGTATTTGGATAGGATGGAAGAGTAGATTTGTCTCTCCACCCATCCATCAATCCATCCACCCATAGGTATATTAAAAGTTGATTTTTTTAAAAAAAATTAACAGTTAGGAAGCTTTGAAGAAGGATCTGAGTGTTTAGAGGCCATTGACAAGGTCAAGTGTTCTTTCAGTGCATTTTCATTTTGATCTAAGAAATCCAGTCCTTTATTATCATGTCTGGTTTCAGTTTAAGCTCTTCTTTTGTTTTCCTTGATATGAAGAACTCATATCTGTTTGCTTATATCTACTCAGGTGCTTATTTGTTTTATGGTTAGTGGTAATGGGACATTGGGGAGAGAGAGAGAGAGAGAGAGAGAGAGAGAGAGAGAGAGAGAGAGAGAGAGAATTTCTGAAGGTAACCTTTCAGAATGCAATGAAGACAGGATTTGTTTAAATTTCTCTGGTGCTGCCTGAAAAGACTCCCTGAGACACAGGTGTAGACAGACTTAGGGAGGAGAGGGAGAGTTGGAGGGAGGAATGATAGGCCTGTCCCTGACTCCTCCTCCGAGGGACCACACATTGAGGAGGGGTAGGAAAGCCACCCAGTTCCCGTGCCATGCAAGTGACTGGCACAATGGGTCATGGTTATGGAGCCCATTGAACCAGGGCACTCAAAAGTGGAATCAGCTTTAACTTCTAGAGCAAAACAAAGAAAGGACAATTTAACCAAGGGCAGATAGGCTTTTCCCAACTATCTTCTAGTGTTTTCTTCAAACCCAGTGATTTTTTTTTTTTTTGTTTTTCGAGACAGGGTTTCTCTGTGTAGCTTTGCGCCTTTCCTGGAGCTCAC